AGCAAATTATAGCAGGTACAGGAATAATTTGTAATAGGTCCCTGAAATTCATAAAGTTTTAAAATAATTCAAACTATAAGGTCTCAAAAGTTAAAACCATATTATCAAGTGCTTCTAAATAACTAATTTTAAATTGTAATATTTTATGTAAGTACCTACTTCATTATATTTAATTGTATATAGTTATATTCAATACCTCCAGAGTACTATAACTACTAATACATTTATACAGCTGATTGAGTGAGTAGTGAATAGTATATTTCACGTATTCAATTATTTTATTAACAGGTATAGACAATAACCAATACGCCCAATAGGTAGGTACTTTAACTATATCAATTAGTTCATATTGTTTATACCACTGAAGTTTTAAAACCGGTTGTCTGATATCTGATACATATATGATAATTTATGTATTATTTTAAATTTTAACGATTACCTACTTATTGCTAAGTACTAACTATTGAAAATACACGATTAATGCATTTTTAAAAATGATTTATACTTAACTAAAATTAAATCTAAATATTGTGAATAATAATATGTTATATTATGTATTGCTCAAAGTATTATATTGAAACATGCTTGTACACTGTACAGACGAACAGTTAGTAAATACAATCTCATTAGGTACTTACCTAATAACTAAACATTATTTAATACTACTAATGGATATTAGTGATATTGATAAAAATACAAAATGCCGTTAATTTATTGTGTAGGTATTGGAAAGTAGAAAATTTATTATAGCAAGCTTTAAAAAAAATGTAATTCAAATAGAAGACAAATAATTACTGTATAATATATTTTATGCAAATAACAACAGTCTTAAATATTTTAACAATTTTTATTGAATAAGAATTAGTAAGAAAGTTGCTTTACAGAAAAAGAGATAATTTAAAGCCAGAAATCATTTTTATAACCTTCGTTTTCAAGGCCGACTTCACCAGAAATAAAACTATGCTATCCAAAATACGTTAAATGAAATGAAAATAAATATGAATCGGTATCCAAAGTGCGTTCAATTTGAAACGTACCCAATAGGTATACATTTTTATCAATTTGTTGTTTTGGATAGAACGAGGAATTGGTTTTATATTGATTTTTTTATAATTCTTTCCTGTAAGACGTATGTAAAATTGTAAATTGCTAAAAAATTTGTTTTATACAGAGTTAGGCACGATGAATTGAAAAATGCACGGATGTTGACAATTTACCAATAAGCTTATAGTGAATCTCTAAAAAAAAAATTTAAATCCGCAAAAAACGTAGAACTTATTTTTAAACATAATACAACATCGAACTTTGAAAAATGCCACATAATTGTTTTTAAATACAACAGTACAACACACATTTTATACTCCAGTCACCTGAGTGACCTAACAAAATCAAAAAATATATTATATGTCATAATAAATCTTGGTCAAGGGCCAATGCAAATCAAGAGATATAAGGGAGATAAGGGTCCACACCGGAATCACGGTTCCGTTTTTTTTTCTAGACATGTTATTAGATATCTACTTAACTTCTTACTTCTTAGATACTATTAGATTTACCTTCTCTGTGTTATATCTAATATTCGAGTTTAAGTATAATAGATCTAATTTTAAATAAGACTATTTATATAAATAGGTACATTCTTATAACTTTGACTAGGTAACTAGTTCAATTTTAAAAAAATCACATAGCTTACTAGAAATACAAACATTTGAAAAACTTTAAACCTTGAATGTAATACTACACTTTTTGAATTTTTAATATATAATATTATTCATATTATATAAGAATCTCCAGTAGTCATTGTGAACGGCCTTGACCTGTGATTCTTACCTGACTTAAGTACGACGAGTGACTACTAATTAAAAATTAATTTACTTTTATTTGGATTTATATATTATATTTTTTTGGAATACTTTTTTTTTGATGATTCACCAATTAAGTATTTTACCTGCATTTTTTAATATGCATTATGCATGTTTTGTTTACCATCTTGGTAAGATTTACATCAATTAATTATAGTTTGTTAAAATAATTGGATATTCAAAAGGAAAATATAGCTGCAAGTATTGACTAGATTATTAAGAAAATCTGCAATGTCCTCGACAATATCAAAACTATCAAATTTTACTAAAATAATAATTTAACTACAGTAAATTTATTTCAATAAATCTTGCTACATACGATGTGACATTGGTTCGCAATGTGTAAACATTGATGGATTCTATATGATATGATCATCATGACATCTATAATAGTATAATATACATTGTGATATTACAAAACGCGTGTGTCAACATAAAGTCGATAGAAAATATTTGTATTCCGAGTGTGGGTAATTAATGATCGAACTCGGTCGGAGTTGTCAAAGACTTGTACGTAGCGATTTGTTTTCTATCCACATCACAGTCTCGCATTAGGTATCGCGGAACATAATATAATAATGCGCAGCGATTTAAACACTCACGTCCTTAAGTCGGCGTTCTGTTTCATTTTTTTTTCTTCACATACGTCTCTGAAAAATAAATAATTAATTTTTACGCAGGTACATTAAAACCGTGTAAAAACCTGTCTCCTTTGAATGAAAATCATAGTAGGAAGGCTGCGGGCATGTAGGCTAATTATTAAGACCGAGGGTCAGGTTACCAAGACGGTACCTGTAGTAGGTATGTCCCACATTCGCTGGATTCACTAACGACATACAATACAATACAATACTGCTGCTATAATACTACTTAGTATATAGATACTTGCTATTACTACAACTACTACGTCCACTATATTATATATATATAATATTTAAAATATTCGTAATAAATCTACAGGTGGGTTCGGTACAAGGACGGTGTTTTATTTACGAGGCGGCGTGGAGAGTACCTACTACTTACTTTATCTCATCGGCTATACCTATGTCGTCTAAACAGCCGGTCAGATAATTTGCTATAACGAATACCAATAATGTTATTTTGTGTTATGGCAATAATTAAAAAGGGGGTTTAAAAAAAAATCACCAATAAATAGTAAGTAGTAAGAACCTTAATATTATATAGGAATATTAGGAAATCCGCACTAACGCGATTGTTTGTAGGTATGTGACCTGGTACAAGGAAATCTGATATATACTCCACTGCAGCACGTTCTGTTGACTTACCATTAATACTAAATAGGTATATACTAATGTACAATAATAGTATATCTGTATAATATATACAAGACATGGTGACATTTTTGAGCGTTATATGATGCGTTTAATGGAATTACCTTTTTATGCGCCTAATAACAACAATGTGTTTGGACGAGTTCCTATTATACTGAGTTTTAGCGAGTACCTACCTACGATACAATATAAAATATAAAATTGATTATACGATTAAGATAAAATATTGTTTACTATATTATATCAACCTATTAAAATCAAGTCTGATGAAACTAGAGGGAAAATGAATTGATAGAATACTGGCCAAACGCATCACAGAATATAAAAAAAGGTTACCCGAACACATCATTGCAGTGTTTACAAACTCGCCAAACGCAAACCACCAGACATATTTACACGAAGCGATCGTGACTGCAGCACAAATACAATCGTCGTATGTTTAGGTCTATATTTTAATTTACCATTTTGCAGAGCATGTTATGCCGCGGTGGATCGCCATTCGCCATCATTGTCAACTCGGTGCAGTCATTCGTACTTGGGTTTAAATGTATTTATGCATCGACTCTTGCTAAGTCTCACGGCATAACCCAAGTCATTCTGCTGTTACGTTTTTCAGACACACACTCATATCTAAGGTGGTATTTAAATTATGCGTACCTATACCTCGGTATAGGTGGTTACTGCAGGTTAGGTAATTACCAATGTACCATACATATTGAACTGCGGAGTATAAAAATCCCATGGAAAAATAATTCTCGACCCTAAGGCAAAATCCATGGACTGCAAGTCAAGTTATTAATATTTAATTACAAATATATTAATATATATACTTATAGTATAGGTATACTTATATCATTATAAAAATTAATATATATATAATATAAAATAATGTTTTTCAAACATCAACATTAATATTAGGTTTTACATTACCATAATATCATATTGTGTTGAACTCTGTAAAAATTAAATCCCCAAAATAAAATATTACGTTTCCTATAATATTTTGACGATAATGTAAATATAATAATATAATATTATTATAATAATGTGGTAATTACAGTATAATTAGTTTTGGTTGTGAGTACCTACCTAATATTGTAGTTTGGGAATTTTTTTCCTAGGGTCGGGGTTTTTTTTCCAGGGTTGTTCGTCGGGGGTTTTTCATCAGGGGATTTTTATTCCGATTAACTCTATATTCTATACGCTCTGCGGGTTATACGCAGTAAACTTTTTATAATGATATAACAATCAATCTTATAATATATAGGTATATATAGTTACCTTCCTATTATGATTTTATGGTAGTGCGGTAAAAATAAAAACCGCGGACAGCACCTAAACTGCCGCGCAATTATAGATCCGTTCGGCACCACCGCCAAGTCTTAATTAGTTTTGATTAAACCTATTATATTATTATTATACAAAGTTGCTATGTTATTATTATATAAATACAACACGCGACCGTCCGGCGGCAGGAACAGGCGGGGAAGAGATTTTCAAAATCAAATTCACCGCGGTCGTTTATTAACCTTCACCGGCTTGCGGACCGTATAAAAGCGCCACTGTCAGCCGTGAACCGGTTCATTATTGTCATAACTCATACCGACACAACGGCACTTCATCCGCAGAGTGTTTGCAGCGTGCAATTGCAGCGGCATAACAGCAGCGTTTAGCGACGCACTTCGAAGCGATCGTATTTCAGCCCACCGTTGCCGGAAAAAAGGTATACCTGCCCACAAAACATCACTGCACGCCGTTTTGGTGGACGATAATAACATAATATTTTATTTTACAGCGTAATTGAGTCAATAATACCACATAACACACATCATATCATTATATCATCATGCCGATCGTCATGCCAGCCGCTTCGGTGCCCACAGAATACGCGACCCCTCGTCCGGTCGAGCTAATGGTGACCGCGTCCGCCCTGGACGAGACGCCCTGCGGCAAAGGTCCGATGATGGAGTCGCTGTCCGCGGCGGTGTGCGGATACAAAAGCGCGCCGAACGCGGCCGATCACGAGGCGTTCGTCCGGGACGCGGTGCGCCTGATGCTTGAGCAAGCGGTGTTCCGGGGAACGGACCGCCGTCGCCCGGTGCTCAACTGGAAGAGCCCGGAAGAGTTACAGGCCGCATTCGACTTCGGTCTCGACCGTTCGCCCACTACCCACGGACACCTGTTGAACTTGATCGAGGACACCATCGAGCACAGCGTCAAGACCGGACATCCGTATTTCATCAATCAACTGTTCTCTAGGTGAGTATTCGTGCTGACCATAGGCGTATTTATAGGGATGGGTGTTATTGGTACTAGCTGAGGTCTGACGCCCCCAAGTATTTACTATTGGTTTTTTGTTCGTAGTATTTTATTATTGTTTGGGGAGACATGTGTGAATATATAATATTACAGACGTGATTATAGGAGAGATTATAGTCTTACCTATTTATAAATTATAAATTGAAAACGAAAAGTATCAGAGAAACGTTTTGTCCACATACGCCAATATTACGATAGTATCTATTATGTATAATATTTTATATAGGTATTATTTTCTGATGGGCTCTTCAGTAAAATAACATTAATTGTAACGAGCTACAATATTGTAAGATTCATATTAATTATTAGTGTTATAAGTTATTACTGTGTGAGAGTGAATCTGTTATTTTGCTACCAACAAATGTCAAGACTCCGGTCTGGAACCTTTCCCTCCAAACTTAATTGCCTAGGCCTAGTTATGCCTAAAACGAGGGCTATATATAAGTATATAACATAATATAGTCTGCGGGTTTATACTTACTGTACATTTTGCTATTTGCAGCGTCGACCCTTACGGTCTAATCGGCCAATGGCTGACCGACGCGCTCAACCCGAGCGTGTACACTTTCGAAGTGGCGCCTGTCATGACCATCATGGAGGAAACGGTCCTGACGGAAATGAGGAAGTTCCTGGGATATCCCGACGGCAAGGGCGACGGTATATTCTGTCCGGGTGGTTCGATAGCCAACGGCTACGCGATCAACTGTGCCAGGTTTTCCGCTTTCCCCGAGGTCAAGGTATGATACAATATAAGTCAGGGCTGTTACTATATTATTATACAGTTACGAATTGTGAAAACAACAATATAACATACAGCCCATATATTATATTATATTATACGCTTACGATAAAGTTAAGTGTCAACAGACATAATATTATATAAGATACATGCCTAATATTCAGTAAATTTGTACAGTTCTATAAATAGGTAAATAGATTTGAAATTATCCTAGTGCAACACTAAATTACTTGCTTTTTCATCTTGTATGACGACGGTTTGATACTACGATTTCTTTTCGTTAGAGTATAATATGCATACGACCATGGTTTTATTTGAGGATCCGTTAATTTTCAACTACAGTATTATACTAACAAACGCAAAATTATAATTTCAAACACAATTTATTATTCATCATATAACTAAGTCACGGAACACTAAAAATAATATTTTGTTACAATCGTCGAGTATTATAATTTATAAATGTACATAAATTCATGTTTACAGACAAGAGGGATGCATGGATTGCCAAGGTTAGTAGTGTATACGTCAGCCGATGCGCATTATTCTATCAAAAAATTATGTGCATTCGAGGGAATCGGTTCGGATAATTTGTATTTGATCAACACAGACGCCAAGGGAAAAATGGACGTGTGTCATTTAAGACAACAAATTCAAAGAACATTAGAAGAAAAAGCTGTGCCTATTATGGTGTCTGCTACTGCAGGTAAGTTCGGAGAGTTTAATTTTTACCTATCACACTTAATTGTAGTACCAGTAACGAAATCTTAGAAAGTTATTATAATTAAACTTTTCTAGATATATTATTAAATATATAAACAGACAGTCACGACTTATATAATATTTAAGTATAATTTTTAAGAAAGCCGAAATAATAGTCATTCAATTTCATAATAATTGTATAACTTTAATATTATATTGTATACTGTAGATAGTAATCGTAATTCGTAATAATATGCCTATGATATTTAAATGATTCATTTTTATACTAATATAGTATGTTATTATTACAACGAACAGTCACAGTTACATTAAAGCGAAAACCATAATTTACGTATAAAAGTATATGACGTACAGGTATTAAGTTAATTATTTAAGGTTTAGAAACTAAAAATATTTTTAATACCTAGTAATTGTTTTATTGAGTAATTGTTTTATTGAGTTTTAAAGTTCTGTAACCAAATGTATAATTTTTCTTGAAATAAAACTGTTCATTTAAAAAAAAAAAGTGAAAGTAATGGAAATCGAAAGACCTCGAACCTTTTAGTACTAATTTAGTAATAAAAATAATTAATAGGCTACATGATGAAAATCCCATTCATTATTTATATCGAGAAATAATGAATATTGTACTGCAACCATTTAAATCGAGCTACATACTTTCTCGGTAATGAGGAATAACTAATTTTAATATTACGAATTAAAAATTACAGGTACAACGGTCCTGGGGGCGTTTGATCCGATAACGGAAATCGCTGACGTTTGCCATGAATACGGTATATGGTTGCACGTTGATGCGGCTTGGGGAGGCGGAGCTTTGGTGTCCAAAAAACATAAACACCTGTTGACCGGCATCGAAAGGTAAAATAAAATAAAAATAAACGAACACACCATCAATGTTGTTGAAGCTTGAAATTATGTCGAGTGATTAATAATTGTTGTTTCTTGTATCTCCCGCAGAGCCGACTCAGTCACCTGGAACCCTCATAAAATGCTCACAGCACCTCAACAGTGTTCAACGTTTTTGACCAAACACGAAAGCGTTCTGACCGAAAGCAACTCTTCTTGCGCTCAATATCTGTTCCAAAAAGACAAGTTCTACGATACTTCGTTTGACACCGGCGATAAGCATATACAATGTGGCCGTCGGGCGGACGTGTTCAAATTTTGGTTCATGTGGAAAGCCAAGGTACGTAGCCCCCCCCCCCCCTAAAAAAAACATACCGCGATCGAATATCCATACAAAAAACCGCTTTATTAGCCGCAATAATAATAGCAATGCGACAATACTGATCTGTTTATTGATTTTCGACGCACAGGGAACGGACGGATTGGAAGCTCACGTTGACGAAAACTTTGACAACGCCAAATATTTCACTGAGATGATTCGAAACAGAGATGGTTTCAAATTGGTACTCGAAGAACCGGAGTACACTAACATAACATTTTGGTATATACCACCGAGCTTGCGTGGACGTCAGAACGAACCAGATTTTAAGAATAAACTCCACAAGGTATGTATAATAATTAAAATTATAATATGACAATAAGAGGGTAAAATCAAAATAATATTAAGTGTATTAAAATGTATCTGTTATTCGATTATTTTTCATATGGTATTAACCTTACATATAAATAATATTATATAATGTACCCACGAACACTATGATAACCGAGTACTCCGTTGGTGATTACAGGTAGCGCCGAAAATTAAAGAGAGGATGATGAAGGAAGGCACGATGATGATCACATACCAGCCATCCGACGATTTGCCGAATTTCTTCCGACTTGTGCTTCAAAACTCGTCTTTAGACCAAAATGATATGGATTATTTCGTGAACGAAATCGAACGGCTGGGTTCAGATTTGTAATTATTTTCGTTGTTAGTTCCTGATATAGATTTTTAATATATTATATTTTTCACTCGCTTTATTGTTCACACATCAGAAGCGAGCGCGATAGGTATACTAAATTATATTATAATTATATTGTTATAATATTATTAAATATGTGAGCTCCGGCACAGAGACAAAGAGAGTTTACTATAATTAGTGTTATAATCAATATAATATGTTATTAATTATAATTTATATGCATTGTATATTTGATATAGTAATATATATTTATTTAACTCTGTAGTTTTCTTTTGTATTTATTTTTAATTTCACAGTTGGGTTTACTGTCAAAAATATACATACCTACCGCCTCTGATAGAGTATAAGACGGGAAGTGTACATTGCACTTTTTTCAAGGTCTTTCGTCTACCCAATCAGCAAAAAAAACAAAAATAAAACACTACGACCAAGGTCAATAATTTCTCTTTTATTCAAAATGTTCGAGGAAGTAAAATGAGCTAATGTTTAATATTTAAATAATTCAAATTCAAAACAAATCAATTATTAATGTTAAAGGTATCCCATACTGATGTTCTGGAGTGTTATAGATGAATCACAAATTTTGATGACTACAACAACGATAAAATATATACCTAAATATTAATTAATATCGATATATTAATGTGAACATTCGCGAATAAAAACTGGAGTTAAAAAAAAAAATTAAATTATGCTTCGAAAAAAATATTTTACGATAATATTATGTACCTCTAATAAAATAATCTATAATTAAACTACACAGACGAAGTAAACAAACCACTTTAAATATAATTATAAAATAAGGTATGCTTGTAGACATGCTCTCTCGTTGATGCGATCGGTTCTTCATATTATTTTACTCGTTAATATTTTTGCAAATTGTTAAATCAATATGTTATATAGATACGTATATATATTAAACATAATATGGATGCGGCATTGTCTATAATATACACTATGCATATAGGACTTGAATTCAGGTTATGTGGCAAGTTAGTAGGCTTAAGCCGACATAACGACGTTATTCTAGCACTTCCCCCACTCAGCTATGCTGGTTTCAAGATTTTGGATCACTGCCGCTTCCATATGTTTAATATCTATGGATATACGTTTGAATAAACATTTTTGAAAATCTAATGGATTTAATTAAGTCGACCAATCGAGCGTAGTATTTTTTTTCACCTTATTTTTTAGTTACTCTTTAAAACTGTGATAAATGATAATGTATATGCGACGGTAGACTGTGATGCTGTGCGCGTTGCTACAAAAATTACTTTTTAATTTTTATAAATAGTTTTTGTAGCGATTTGTTATTCGAATCGCATAATGTTTCACGTCTGTTGACGTATATCATACTATTATTATACTATATGTATAAAACCTATATGTATTTAATCCGTGTTCAAAATAAGTTGATTATTTTTGTTTTTGAAAACTCGACAACGGATCATTGGATTTATGTATCCAAGTATTCAACCAACGACTAAAATTGTGGGCAATACGACCCACTATAATACGTAATACGAAAGTAAAAAGTAGAAAACTATTGCCTGAAAACTATGACCGGTGACTACGCAAAATCCGTCTGCACCATATATGCCGATGCCCACTTTCAATTAACATTTTATTGTTTAAAACATTTCACTCCTGCATATACGACGAAAATTTTAGTATACTGATTTCACGACAGTATAAACAATTTAAATCAATATGGACAACATCGTTGACCAGTTGGTGTATTGTTTAGACTCGATTAATCAGTTTCAATTTTGCACGGATGGGTGGTTTTTAAGACGTATTTTCTACTCGGAAGACCGCACAAATTCACAATGTCTGTAGTCGCCATAACGATGATAAATGTTTTTTTCCATCTCATAATGGTGTTCCCGGACCGTTGATAGACTACAGCCTCAGTGAAATTTATAATAATATTATGTGTAAGTATTGACTTCAATGCGAGCGCACACCATCGGTTTTTTAACGTCGTCGGTCGTATTCCGAAAGCAGTGACCCGGCGGCATTAGCGATATAAACTTATAAATACAATACAAGAAGTATAGATATAGGATTCAGCCGTATAAGTTTTCGATGACGAGTGAAAAGAGTAGGAGTAGTCTGAACTTGGCGGTGGCAGCGGGCCACGTCGGTCGGACGTGACAGCGGAAAAGTCTATTTCGGAAGTAGCTGACGAGGATGCGAACCACCCGCGGGACGTTGCAGCGGAAGTGCAGTACGCCGTCACCTTCGATTCCGGTGGAGCGGAAGTTCCGGCGCAGGAAACCACAGCAGCCACCGCCTAAACGACAAGCAGCCGAAATCACTTAGGTGGCGGAAGCGTACGCTCGCGACCGCGGAACAGTGCGGGCGTTGGCACACACTCAGTTGGCGGCCGGTGATCGGTCCATGGTGGACGCATGGCTGGACAAGTTGGACGGGTGCGACGATCTTGAGGTCCGGTCGCAGTACTCCGAGTTTCTGCTGCGGACCGTGGTCGGTGGGAGTATGCGGTCGACATATACTGTCGGTATCACTCGTCGCAGGCTCGAATCGAGTATGGTTGGCGGAGGACTAGAGTGCTGCTTGAGTAGCGCTGGATCGAGCTGCTTGAGAGGCCCGCCGGGCGGCGATCGGCGCTAGAACGGTTCGACGCTCATACTCCCGCCGACCACGGTTCGCAGCAAGACTGCGACCATGTACCTTAGGGTCCAAACAGACAACCGATACCCGAGGTACGTACGATCTGTTACGCCGCCGCATTTAGTGACATGTCTTAGACGCGTGGTCATCTATGGACTTAATAATATGTCGGAGGGGTATCTCAACGGGCAATTATATGGGATATGACGGACGTGAATAACTTGTTGGAAAATAAATTTAAAAACAAAACAATACTAAATAAAAGTTTTAAAATAAATCATTTTAGAAGAAAACGTCACATTTATAATGTTATTTATATTAATTTATTATCCTACTATTAAATACTAAATTGTAATCAAAATAATACCTACAGTATGTGAAGACTTTGATTCATGCTATTTTAGATTCTGAGCGATGCAATACCAATTTTTGGCAAATTCTATTTTGTTTTTAGGTTTAACTAAAAAACGCTAGACCGTCGATTCTTTAAATTCCCCCCATAGATATTAATATTAGTATTGATAACATTTTGACACTTTTAAAGCTATAATTATAGCCATGAAACATTATCGATCTTTTTAAGTTTTTTTCAATGATTGTCAATAAATAATTTTTCGCTCGACAATCTAATAATCTAGAAATTGTGATGAAGGATTCCTTGTAAGTGGTTTGAAGTGTGCTAAAAAAAAATTTGAGCTTAAATCCACACTAAATTTTTTATAATTGGATAAAGTTAGAATTCTTATAGAATTCGTCAAAATCACGTAAACGTGTAAATTATTTTTCAGTTAAGTAAAATAGACAAAATGTAACATAAACGTCGTTTTAAAATCTGTCCTTTTTCCAAAAGAACGAATCCTTTTTTTTTTAAGAAACAAAGAACTGAACGAATTCCTTTTTATAAGGAACTTGCCAAACACTGGGTGTACTCGTAGGTGGTATGTGTTCTATCCGTCTTACTAATTGAGCATAAATGCATAACATGGCAATTCTTATGTCCAGAAGAATCCATTTCACATTTTTACTTAGAGAATTGACCAACCATACAATTTAAAGCTAAGATTATTATCAAGTGCTCCACCATGCAAGTTTTGTATTGATCTTCTAATTTTGAATCAAGTGAGGCCATTTTGAAATACCTAATAATACTCTTGTACATTTGAAATTGCTCATAACTATATAACAATGGTTAATACAACCCAGCTCATTTAATGGCATTTAGTTACCTACCTATACTGTAGTATAATTATTATTATTACCTACTTATACCTATATGTATGATCTGCACGAATTCTAATATAGATCTGAATTTAGTTATCTGCAGGATAACAGGTCATAACTCATAATGGTTATTATATGAGTTAATTAAGTATATATTTTTATTACATCAGTACACAAAAATTTAATATACTAGGTAGTACATCTTAAACCTAAATATTAAATTTTAATAAGATTTCCACTTTTTCTTATTTAAGTTATATTATAGTTCTAATTGGTCATTTTTAGCTTATTATAATATATAAAGTACCAAGTGTATATTTATGTAAATATATAAATATTTATATATAGTTAAAAAAATTATTTATCTGAAGTACTAGTCAAAATTCAATTGATTAATTTTTCAAAAAAAATTACAGTGCAAATTGCAAAATAAATTGATTAAAAAAGGAGTCATTTTACATGTTCTAATATTTTAAGTTGTATTTTATGTAGCAATATAGGTAGTATAAAAACTAAAAAAGTAAGTAGGTATATAAGGTAATTTATTTCAGTGAGCAAATTTATTGCAAAATAAAATAAGAAATTTGCTTAAAACAATTTATAAATGAACACCTGTATTACGAAAACAAAATAATGGTTATGTCAGATTTGATCGTCATAGCAAAATAAATAAATGTATTGCATAAAAACTAAAAAAAAATTTTCAAGTCTTTTATTTTTATTAAATGTACAACCAACAGTTTCTCTAAATTACTTAAACAGATATAATTATATTTTATATTTGTATTTTTTTTTTATAAACTATTTTAGTATTACTATAAATTATAAATTATATTCACAACACTATAATATATAATAAACTAATCACAAAAAAATCTTTCTAAAAACTAAATTTGGGGACAATCTTCAAAATATAACATTTTATATGTCGCACACGGATTACATTTTTTTTTTGCATTGTCGTGACAATATTTAATGTATTTTTAATACTATAAGTTACCTAATAAAAAGGCATCATCAGTCTTTCATTATGTACATAGCTGATCTTCGAAGGTGGTTAGAACAGTTTAGATATCTAAAAATATATATTTCATAAAGAAAAATAGTCTTCATTTTTAACTTTTTAAAATACACATTTAAAGTATACAAATCATTGTGTAAGTAGTTAACCAAAACGAATAGCATTAAATAAATTTAGTCATATACATAACACGTGTAAAATTTAAAACACAAATAATCAAAACTAAACGTAAATTGTTTGTATACATGACTGACATTTTACAATTTACGATAACGAATAACGACATCTTTATTCTTCTCTACAATTATTCGTATCGAATCCAACAGGAACATTATTGTTATTTGTTATACGTTTGTTTTAGCTTATAGTCTTTTAACGTTGAATATTCTATAAATATATACCTATTGTTTAGTTTTTAAACATTACAAATAAATAAACGAAGAAATAATACATATTTTACATGTATAGCGAGTCTGTTAAAGACAATTTTTTTCTAAAATTCTTCCATCATCAACTTAGAGGTAACATATTATACAACTTTGGTAAGTTATCAATATTCTAATTGCACGTTTATAATGTAATTTATAATTATTTATTATTATATATAAATATATAGATTATATAGATAATATTAGGCATTAAGTTATATAAATGGTTATTGGGCCGGTAAGTTTATTATTACTCAATACAAATTATATTCATAATTTAAGCATTGACATCTGAATCATTTCATAATTTAAATAATATTATCATGCTCACCTACATCTTATACATTAGAGCCAAATAATTATAACCTAGACAGAATATAATATTGTAGAAGACTGAAGGCTCATATGATCTTATACATAATCATATTTATATTTCGGTTCATATTTATAAACTATATATTTTTTTGTCTACTTCAAACTCATAAATGCTTTATGATATTGTCTTAAGATAATAATAACATAACTTTGTTAGTTTTTTTTCTATGATCGGCCAATTTTTTTTTACTTTGATATAGACTTAAAGTTAATGGTTTATTAGAAACCGTTAAATTAAATATTATATTTTTAATTATTGCACATTTTGTACATACCTATTACAACAATTCAAGCATTGGAAAGGCCAATACCATACATTTTCAAACACCTAATCACAATAGGTTTTTAGGCGAGAATGACTTAATAGTACGTGTGTACAATATTGTAATTATAACCCAAATTCAATTAGTTCCAAAAGTTAAAATAACAATACATTTTACTTAAAAATAGCAATCTTAAAAATAAAAATAAATAAATAAAATAATAAATGTATTGTGGGGTATATGATATGTGTGCGGACATTATAACAGACTCAAAACACCTACTGAAAATCAAAACTCAAGGATGTTTAAAAAAGTAAAAAAAAAAGAAATAAACAATCAAAAAAGGAATAAAAAATAATTAACAACTCTCCATTATTGTCGTGTTTACGTTTTGTGAATATCTATCTGACAATTAAACATGATGGTAAATGTTCATGCAAATATTCCAATAATTCCGGCGATGCTCCAGCACAATTTGTCAGTTCTAATTCTTCTAAATGTCGCATTTGGATTAAACTGGATAAACCACTGGAGGTTAACAAATGACAACCTAAAAATAATAAATTTCAGTTAAAATATTAATAGGGGTACCTAATAAGATATATATAATTGGTTTAAATTGGTTTTAGTGAGAGTGTAATGGAATTGAACACTTTATAAAATATTTTAATAATTCATAGAATATTAGATGTTTAGTATTATTATTGTTAGGGTAAGTGGACCCTTAAAAATATTCACCACACCTGGCCTTAAATTATGCACGCAGTATTATACACGTCTTATGATATTATCATTATTATATGACCTAGTATTACGGAGTATACCTATGTGAAAACAAAACTGTTTCTCTCATATAAGACTAACAAAGTTTCAAATTCATCGATCGGAAATTAGTTTAAGTAACTACGGAGGTTATGGGGGTCATATCCCCCCGGAGACCAAATTTTGTACACAATACAACATGTATATAATATGATAATATAATATGAATATAATATGTGTATACTGAATGTCTATTAAAAATTGTATATCCACCTTGAAAAATTCCTAGCTACAATAACTGCTCCCGACGTCATGTTCGATTTTAAATGCTATAACGAATGTGTCTTATAACGTAGCACGTTAAAATTATTATTTACCAGCAAGTGAGAGTATCCTTAGATGTCGCATGCCGCATAAGTGTTGTATACTGAAATTTCGAAGTTGTGAACACCAACGTAGAAATAACGCTTGTAAACATATCATTGTTGATATATACCCTATACCAATATCAGTTATGTGTATGCACCTAAAAAAAAAACAGAATAATTTACATATTTTCTAAATGTTAACCATACGCATAAACATAATAATATTATATTATATATATATCTACATGAATAAGTTTAAAATATTTTACTGCGATCAAACAATTATTAACAATGGTAATAAAACATGTATACATATTACATAGTATATACTGTATAATATATGACATCAATAATATCGTTCGTTACAATAGAACTTCTAAAAATGTATTTATTTGGCAAGGTATTATATTATGATATTCCAAAGTTATTATAAACTTCTAAAATAAAGTCCAAATAACTATAAGAACTAAATTTATTCATTTTTTTAAAAGTACGTCTTCAGTTACTTGTCAAAATAAATTACTCCAATATTTGTTGTATACTTTTATATTTAAAACCAATTATCTACATAAAATAATAAATTTAATACCTAGTTAAAAATAATTTACCGTCTAAAAAGTAAAAACATTAGGACTACTTTTGAATACTATCTATAAATAATATAACTTTATGATTCATATAGGTATATTAATGATAGACAATAAATCGACTATCGAACCATTGGTCCGAATTGAAGGGTTAAATAATAAATAATGCTAAACTGGTATAAAAATAGTTTTGTAATACGGAAAAAAGGGTCACCGTTTTATTTAAGTACCTAATATATGACGATTAACGATATAAATTTATTGAAAAATATGATACTTGAGCTATTCAAACGAAACTTATTTTTTTAATTGTTCAAATAAATTATTAGTACCTAATATTATGATACGGCTAATTATCTGATCGCAGAAATCCAATATTGATAATATTTCTGTTCGTTGCTATCGCATTAACTGTGTATAGTGTTTTACCTGTCTAAGACCAACTGCTCCAATCCAACTAAATCACAAGCAATGTATTCGAGGGCTGCATCGGTGACACGAGGACACCAAGATAAGTCTAAGATTTGTAATTTTGGCAGATTTTCGGCGATCAATTCGATCCCGTCATCGGTGATTTTACTGCAGCCTGATAAACTCAGTACAGTAAGATTGGGAAGTGAGTGAACTGAAAATAAACATAAAGATGTAAATTATTATAATATTACATATATATATATAATTAAAATATCTAATTTAAGTTTGGGAAGTCCAAATTACCAAAGTCTTAAGTGTAATAAATTAATTGTCTATGTATAAATTGTTTTATTCACTTTGAATTAATTTAAATTACCGAATAGATGGTACAAATATAATACAAGCAATTAATATTGGACACTAAGGTTGATACTTGATGACAAAGGTCAATAAAAAGGGATAGTTTTCATAACTATAAGTTTGATAGTATTTCGAAACTATTCAGATGACATGCAAAATTAGAGAAAATGAAACTCCTACAAGAATGTAGCTACATCATAAATAATTAACAATTATGTTACAATATTTTATCATTTTACTAAAATATTTTTTATGCTTAAACACAAGTTTGAATAAAATGAAAATCTTTTTTTCCATACAAAAAATTTTTTCTTTAATAATTGAACTCTCTGTTTAGGATTATATTATGTACTTATTTTACTCTCTATATTATGTATATCATATCATATATATTTTAATAAATGAAAATTAAATATGAATAATATTAAATTGACGAAATACAAAAATAATTTATGAATAAAATATAATGTAGTTTTTGTATTATAGGTATTTTACTAGCGGCACTGCAGCTATATAGCTAAGTAGGTCGATATTTCTGGGACATGAAGAATATAAATAATTATAAGTTAATCATATTAATATATGGATGGACGATATCTGCAATGAAGTAAGCATGAAGAATTCTGATATACTGATTTTACTTTTTGTGGTCATTTTTCTAACAACCATATAGGTAGATAATCTATATAGGTAAAGGTACCGCACATATTATTATATTACATACATGGTTCCGATAAATTAACATTTTAAAAGCAATAGAGCTGTAAAATGGTGTACGTTTTTTTCCTGTATGATATTATATTTTACGCATTTGGGTTCAATTAATTAGGGTATATTGTTTTAACGTTATCACTAAATATCACAGAAATATACCTTTTTACCTACCTATAGTAAAGATCAACAAATTAATGTTATCTAAATATTATCAAAATGTGTTAAGATTTACACATTCAGAAGTCGAAACCCTCGAGGGATAGAACATTTAATAAACAAGTATATAGGTACACTGACGCCGCGGGCAGTATGCATAGAAACGTGTTCAAGGACGAGTGCGAAAACAATATATAATAATAATTGCCATTATTCGCGTACCCTTTTTGTCACTCTCGCACGAAGTACTCGCGTATTTACCAATATAATAGTATTATATAATATGGCCTATTTAAGTAGGTATACGACATCATAGAGGAACTATATTATAGTGTACCTATTACACGGCGGAATTGCGTTTCTTATTATATTATTATAATATTATTATTATATTATATGCATATGCGCGCGTACATAATATACAGATTTAATATACATTTCGGATCGATAGCTAAATATTATACAGGCGAATATATGTATCGCCCGTTGCACGCAGCCCTATACTGTAAATGTGTTGGGGTGACTATGTGTACGCGTATATAATAATATAATATATATAATATTATATACTTTTCCTGGCGAGCTGAATCACGTGCCATTGCCAACACACGACCGACCGATGTTTAGTAACGATACCTACACGAGGGGGACGAATAAAAGCAGTCGCTATGTAACCACCCTTCCTTAAAAAAAAGGGGGCCAGGTGGTTACGACTTACGACTATATACTGCCACTGTACGCATGTAGAGGATTTCGTATAATTTGTCGCATATACTGCGACGTTAAAAAAAAAAACTTCTCGATAAAACGCATGTACATAATAATATTATATAGATGTGGGGTAGGTAATAGACGTACATATATAGTGTACACACTATATATATTATTATATTATATACAACTCACGCGTATTCGAAATCTTCGTAGGCATATATATATATATATATATATAGGTATATAGTGACATCCGGCACGCGTCCGGGGTAAATATTATAGGTGTGTGGTGTGTGGAAAGTAATTCAATATTACAAACTAGTCGGGTAGATGGTGGATCACTGCAAATTATTAAAAACGCGTATATCGTGGTATATAATATTATATACCTACACATCGTCGGTTAGTTGTGATTTAATGTATAATGATAGGATTCGAGTATTTACAAACATTATTCTTCCTATCTAACATTACATTACACGAGAACCTACTAGCCAAAGTTTTTTCGAAATGGTATCGATTCGTTTTATTTTTATACTCGACTTATTCAAATATAGGTTTTTGAAATTTGAATTGCTTAAAAAAAAATTGATTTTTTATGGCATTTAATAAGAGTAGTTCGAACCATTTTTGAGGTACCTACGTATCAAATTTTGACCGAGTATAGTGAAGTTCTTAAGTCATATTATACTTGATGCCTAATATCAGCGGTTCTCAACCTTTTTTCGTTCGTGTACCACCTAAACAGTTTGAAAATTTAAAACTCGTTTTAATTTCGATTTCGCTGTATCGATAGCTGTAATAAATCAACTGCTTAACGACTCTCAATAAAAAAAAAAGATTAAAATAAAAGTTTTTGTCGTTACCCAGGTAACTATTATACAAATACTGATGCATAATATTACGCTAACTTATAATGACACCGTGATCGGATAAAAAATGACCAAAAGGCAAAAACCAGGTTTTGAATAAAGTATAGCAAAATGGACAAAATTGGGATGAACGTTCTTGGCGGATCACCCTGTAAGTACTGCGCGGTGCTGTCTGACATTATATGACTACTGTTTACACGCTACATCGATTTCAACCACGTACCATAAATTTGTCCAACGATAAATACAATAAACGAGTGTATAGTGTTTACACGTCTATACACGAGGATTTCGATTATTTCTTCTCATATATAATGTGTCATTTATCAAAGTCAGTCTCTTAAATGGCACTTAATTTGATGTTTTCGACGTTTTTTTTTCCTACACGTGTTCTATATATAAGAAGTAATTCGTACATTTTTTTCTCTCTCTACATACAAATATACAATAATAATATAGTGTCGATTGTTACTTTTTTTTTTGTAATTGGCGATGTATTTTTCTTGTGCGTCATAATTTGGATTAAAAGTTACAACCTCATAATTTAGTAGGTATTTATTCTAGCCACTTTATGTAAGTATATGTAGGTAAACGATAAAAAATGATGACATAAAGTTTAAATATATTTATCGAGTGAGTCAACATGTCTGAATGTGAATTATGTAAATTTCTAAAATAATGATTGAGCCTTTGTTAACCCTGAATGTTAAGTCATTATAAAGTAATATACATATAGGTAGGTACTGTAGACAGCCCAATTACCATACCATACTTCAGTATTCCATTATACTTACACAATAAACTTAGATCATATTTCTTTATTAAAAATGTTGATTGATATATAGATATAATAGCTGATGGCCGATGGGTACATATAGGTATTATATCATATGACATATTATTTACGCATAATATAATTGGTTAATAAGAATTATATATAATAGTATCATATTATATAAGGACTAAGGACTTTGGTCTGCATTTAAATTAATTAAATACAAAATCGTTTTTAAGGGTAAATAGTTATACAATAATAATTTAGTAGTAATTAATATCTGAGCTTTACAAATGTATGTTTTGCTTTAATATTATAAGTAATAGCGTAGGTATAACATTTTGAAAATAATATTGTTTTGTATCTGGTTATAATTATATGGGTTTACTAATTTTAAGTATAAGTATCTACTTTAATAAATTAACCCAAAATCAATATTTCATATTTGCATGTACGTGCGAATTATAAAAGTATTGTAGTTATAAACGATAAAATATTAAAATCACGTAGGTACGTATCCAATCATCGAAATTTGAGATCTTATTTTTTAGTTAATACGTTTACAACAATAAAATTGTTTTGAAAGGAAACTAAAACACTATGGAACTGTTCAAATAAATTATAACAGTGAACCTTACTCAACTTACTCCTTATATGTTGTAAAACTGGATTACATTATAAGTCTAAAAAAGTTAGTTATTAGAGCAAGAATATTGTATATCAATTAAACAATGAAAATAATAAATTATGTTCGCAACGAATCAGCAAATCCAATTTAAAATAACTCGGTGCTGCAGAATAATGATGTATTATTATTATTTTTTTTTAATTTGAAATTGAAAATTATCAATTGAGAAAAAATAATGCTGAGCACTCCTAAAAATGTTTTAAAGATTTTGCTAGAGACAGTGCTTTGTTTTTAGTTTTTACAGAGTTATTTTTATACTTGTTTTTTTCAATTTTCTCATAAATTGACGGCGAATGTAAAAAATGACCTTCTTCGACTTCCACGTTCAATTTCCAATCTTTAAAGGAGCTGCATGATATATTTTTAGATGTTTTTACTGCCCCGAAAAGTGTTTACTGAATGGAAAAAAAATACGCATCGATGTAAAACCTGCTACATTTCGTTCCACTCGGAATATTAAACGATTGGGAAACGCTAACGCTATGTATTATAATATATTTTGATAACCTGTCCAAATCAAATGTTTTAATAGAAATAACTACACTATCATAAATTCATAACATTATAATATAGTCCACGGATCTGAAATTGTTCTATAGGAATTTTGAGAGGCCATTAACCAGTTTGACCGGAGCGGTAATTTATTAGCTACGGGGGAATCGTTCGAAATAGAATGTAATTAAGTTTTTATGTGTAAACACGAAAAAGAAAATCACGGGACTTTCGACTCTTTTCGTGAAAAGTAAACACCGTAGACTACTACAACTGTAGTGCAAGTTTTGTTCGCAACAGTTTATTTAATTTCCTATCCGCCACCCACTCGTAATGATAATTTGTTTTGCAAACCAATTATCATAATAATTCCTTCACTTCGCCGTAATTTCCGTTCGAGTTCCTCTGTGGCAAACCGATTACCCATAAAGACGTTTCACCTAATGTAAATAATATTATATTATATATATATAGGTACGAAATATTAGTACTACTATTGTGGCGGCTGTCTTGTGCAGTTCAATAATACCCTGGAACAATAATATAATAATATATTATATTGTTCTACGATAATAGGGCGTATAGGGGATTTTATGCTAGCGATAGAATTATTATAATATAGCCGTCGCCCGTCGTAGTTAATGTTCAACAATCATTTTAAAACCTTGTAGTAAATATTATATTATTATGGTTTTTGACGTATAAGGTACCGATGTTATCATAATAATATGTAATACATGGACATATAATAATAATTAACGACGTATAAACGTGGTCGTTTTACCCGTCGAACATAATTATCTTATTGCAATTAGCAACATAAAAATATCGGTGTCGACGGCTCGAGTTGTCGTAATAATATTCAGCGAGTAAAAACTAATCATACCTGTGTTATATAATATATTATATTTTATTTTTATTATAATATTCCAATATGCGTCGATGCGGATTTTTAAATATTTAATGAATATCTGATATTCGTTGTCGTTCGTAGTAGGTATATACATATTACATTCAAATTTAGTCAAACGTATAGTTTTGTGAAACCTGCAGCTATACCTAGTCGCTAATGTTTTTACTCTACACTATACCGTGTTAAATATTATAATGATCGTGTAGTTTTCGTTTTCTTGTTTTGAACCTACTACGTTTTTGTAGTTATTATTATTATTTAACAGCGATCTCTAAGAAGTTTTTGTAGAACTGTAATAATTCACGGTTGTATAAATACGAGAAAATCACGTTTTTATTTAGGTCAATTATTATTATTGAACTACGTTTTCTCGAAATGAAATGGTCTATTATTTTTATGTCATATCCGCGTAGTACTTGTGCAGATGTTTTATATTTATATAAAAGTGAGCCTAACGATTCCCATCATTTTTAAATTGGAACTCGAAAGGGTTGATTTATATTATACATATTAAGTCATACGTATTGTACATATAATCAACTAGATTCAACCTGTTAAATATTAAATTATTGCAATTAAATGTTGTGCTCGTACTTGGGTTGGCAAAACAGACTAATAAATGCCTACTTACGTATATATTAATGGCGACACTCGAATTGCCTCCCAAATTTAGGTAGGTGACCTTTTTTTACTCGAATTGCCTCCGGTTGTTTTCGGAGGCAATTCGAGTATGCCCAAACGGTGTACTTGAATTGCCACCCATATCTTACCTGGATTATTAATTAATATATCGATAGTTGTACGTGTACCTACTATCGATTATTATATTATTCCGTTCAAAAATGTTGAAAAATAAAATGTTTAAGACATACAGTATTTCCCTGACCGATTAATTTTTCGAATGCAATAATCTTATCTGCGATTAGTGATTCTCAGTTGCTAAAATTGTTTGGCCCCGGGATTAGTCCATCATCACCAGTTCAACACAGTCAGTTTAAATTTGATGTTTTTTTAATGTTATTAACTATTAATGCTGTGTCAGTCTATTTACTAAAACATTTATTTTATACAAACTTAAGTTTTTAACTGTATAACAGAATTATATTTCATCTAAATTATATTTGATATATTTTTTTATAAATCGGTTAATTATAGCTATCGCAGACGATTCCAGTACGAGAGGGTCACTACCTAAAATAGCAGGCAATTCGAGTGAATAATATTTTTGAAATCGGGAGACCATTCGGGTAACCTTTTAAAAAAAAAATTAATGGGAGGCAATTCGTGAGCGCCCATATTAATATTATAAATATACAGGTACCTACAACCAACACTGTGAATTTCATTCACTAAAAAAGCTGTTTAATATGGATACACAAATAATGTATTTCATTTTTAAAATAAAATAATAAAATAAATAAGTACCTATTATAAGAATATTTTTTAATAAAATCAAAAGAAAATATGCAATTAAATAATAAAATGTTCACTGAACAACTTTTTCGCTCTCGCCCACTACGATACGTATAATATACTACAGATCTTCCATAAAACAAAAAACATTCAATAATGTACCTGCTAAATTTAAATTATTATGCAAAACGATAGTAAATGTATTTCGTACACTTTGCGTGCTGTATAAATAGAGTGATATACGATCGAAACGAATGTTGACTACTGTCAAGACTCAATTTGTTCAATAGTTCTATATACGAAGTATCGTAAAAACCTCGTGAATTCGTTAAATTCACAGTCTAGATTCTAATATTTAGTGATAAGGGTATTGATTCGTTAGCCCCGACACCAAATATTAACCGATATCAGTTGGTATACCATCGATTTTGAGTCCATAACCGATAAGTACTGTACCGTACTACCGTGGTATATGTACTACTTGGAAATAAATAAAATAGTGTGTACAACCACTCAGAATATATCAATCGTAGAACGATCGCAGGAAAGAATTTCATGAGGTACTGATTTTTTTCATTACTCGAAAAAAGTTTGATATCTGCAGTTCACCTGCTCACGGAATAATAATATTTAATAACGGATCGGATGGTATCGGTTTTGGTAAAACTGTGATATCAAATCGGGTATGGGCAAAAAAAAAATATTATCGGTAACCAGCCCGAGGCTGATATTAAGCAAGTAAGCGCGGCGTGCTATAAATATTACAATGTGTAGCACAATCACTCACCAATATTTACAATGCCGTGGTTGGTGAGCTCCCAGCACGACTGCAGCCTGAGCGCGGACAGGCTGTTGGACTGCCTGGACGAGAAGAATCCCAAGGCGGCGTCGGTGACGTGGTACGCTTGCAGCGTGAACTCGTTGAGGGCTGGCAGCATCTGAGCCACGGCGCCGACCGCGTCGTCGGCCACGTTTATGCAATCGCTCAGGGTCAGCGACACGATTCTGGGCGTCAAGCATGCCCATAGGCCGGCCTCCGTGATCTCGTTGCACCCGACTAGCTCCAGTTGCCAAACACCCTGTACGAACAATAATAATTATCGTTATAATTTATTGACATCGTTATTACGAAAGTCCGACGATGACGACCATCGGATTCGGCAGAACACAATATTTATTATGTGTACGAGTGGCTTAATTACTACACGCAGCGGAACGACTTACCGTCTATACCTGTATTCGATCGATTTTATCGTTTCGATTGTTTCGTATGTTTCATAATATAGGTAGGTATAATATATTTCATAGTTTTAGGTATTATTTCATGCATTGTAATAAGTAATAACTATAGCCGTATAACCACGGACAAATCGACATCGGTGTACCTAATAGCTTGGAAGAATAAACTCGACCGAAGCAAAAATAAACTCTCCCCCTCGAGTCTCAATAGGAAAATGTGTGCAAAATGCGTGGTGACTGAAAATGGTTCCAAGTCTATAAGCCGCCATCACACATCCAAACATATACATTCATATATTATATAAGATTATGCATGCGTAGTTATATTATAAGATGTCGCTTGCAGCCATAATCCATATTATACTAACATATCAGAAAAGACCACGTGCAGTTATATCAGAATAGTGAATAAGTGACCACGTGTAATCGTCTTACTGCACTTTTACACGATAAAAAAAAACAAAAAAAAAAAACACAGTTGTAATCAATACTATATAATATTATGGTTGATCGATGAGTGGAACAACTCTCCCGTTGTTACAATGACGAAATAAAATCAACCGCTTTGTCGTGGAATAATATAATATTGTCTTACGGAAATTCGTGTACATCTGCACTATATGTCTATATGAGCTGCAGGTATTCAATTTAGAAAACGTGGCTTTATGTATATAGGTACGTCTCACGTCATCGTCTGCACCATAATAACAGATTTCTTGCAACCTGCAGATCGTTCAAAGGCATCGTAGAAGACGTACTACCGTAGTGCTGTACTACCCACATACAAATATGTCATTAGTGAAATGCCAAAGTAAAGGAGAAGTGTATATATATATAGTGAAATTAATGAAAAACCTTTGATGTTATTCTATGAGTTTTGACTATATACTGTTAAGAGCTGAAACAGTGTTAACGACGTTTACGTTTTGCTTTTGCCAATTGAATATTGTCATTCACGTGTTCAATTTGACTTGTCTTTGTGTCTGCAAAATGCAAATATATACGAATTTAATTTATTTTGTTTTGTTATACTTTATTGCACTATAGTTTTCCTTGCGACAGCACCCGTGTATAGTCGCTTAGACAGACGCCTTACGATCAGTTACGCGTTAACCTACACTGCTGTAGGTTTTCCGATTTTAGTCAATGAACTTTATTACACAACTGTCTCATTATAACAACAAAGGTCATTGTTAATTGGCATTGTTACACGGTTCATTCATTGTACACAAGATTTTGAATGAACACGTGTTATACTGCAGCACGGCGACGGCGAGGTGGTACCACGACAAAGCCGACCGTAGTAAGTGTAGTTTTTACGACAAATTCAGTGAAATGCCTATGTGTAAACGATTGAGTGAGATACGAGATTTTTTAATAAAAAATTATCAAAAACTCCTTACGGAAGTTCAGATAAGGTGCAGGATTTTCGAAGGTGTTTAAATTATACATTGACTCGGTGACCCGTGATTGCGAACAATTTTAATATATATTTAAGTACTCGCACAAATACGCACGCTCAAAGATTAAACAAAATATAATAATAATAATATGTAACTAGGTAATATGACACAATGTATATTGATTGACGCTGTGCGTATACCTCTGTAAAACGTATAACTAAACATTGGTATAATCATGTTCAACTGTTGTAGGTAGGTACCGACTTAATCGAATTCACAAAAAACGCGTATGCCTGTAACGCCTGTACACTGAATATATTATAAATACAATATACAATATACATAGATTAATTAATATTATAGTCAGGTATAATATATGAAGCGAATTCGAACACATCCGATTTCATATTTCATTGTATTGTTATTATATTATCGGACATAATATAATATATGGGAGGTATCCTAACCGGTTGTGATATTATAATATATACCTATATTATATTATATACGTGTCTACTGTACTACTGTGTAATAGGTACCTACGTGTGTCCTGTAAAACGTAAAATGTTTAATACTTTAATGTTATGATACGCGTGTGATGTATATCAACTTAAAACAGCTTAGCAGCTGCGAATTAATGTTTATAAAAGGACATGGATATTATATATTATAGGATGTTAAAATGTTAAATAAACACGAGTAACGACCGACCAAAATATATTATGTTTAATGCGTGTATATACTATATACCTATATACCTACGCCATATACGACCATCGTCCAAAAAGGGTCCAAATCACCATGTTAAGTGTTACAATACATTTAGGTGTACGTATATTATAGGTATATTATGTACTTTTAGGTATTGCGACGGACGTACACATACCAAAGCGAAGCGTTTGGATTTACAGTTCAACGACTTTCCATATTATTCCATGTAAGCGCATTAAATATTAATTGAATATGTTGACTCAACTGAAATTTATGGCCATGTAAATTGTATAATGTGTATTGGATACATAAATTGGAACGCTGCACGAAAAGATAGCTCGATACCTCGATTGGGATATATATAATACTATATATCTAGATTACTATATAGGTGCATAGGTACTAACTATTTATGTGGTAGGGAGCATATAAGATGTTGGAAAATAATTTCAATGGAAACAAAACTTACGAAAATAATTAAACCGAAAAATATTTGATTGAAAATAATTTACAAGAAATATAATTGCATTTGAATATAAATGAATTGGAAATAATTTCATAGAAAATAATATTAAGGAAAAAGAAAAATTGGATTACTAATTGTATGGAATATAATTAGGTGGAAAATATTTATAGATGAATCCTAAAATGAAATAACGCTTAAACGTGGATTACTAAAAACACGGAATGCTAAAAACGCGGAAAACCAATTCAGTGGAAAACTAAAATTGCCGATTGCTAAAAACACGGAAATCTAAAATCACAGAAATCTAGTACATTGGAAAACTAAAATTTTGGATAGCTAAAAATATGGAAAGCTAAAAACGTGGAAAACTAAAATGTAATTTTTATTAATTTTTTAAAAAATGTTCATACTATAAAAATAAAATAATAATAGTTAGGTATGCAGAACTCTAAGCAGTGGGAATTATTTTTAGAAATATTGTTTAAATTGAACAAAAGACGGTATAATAAAGTTATATTAACTTTTTAACTACCTACCAAATTTGATTAGAATAATAAATTATTATTGTAAGTACATTGACGTACCTAAACATTAGTTATTTACACTGTTAAATTATATTTTGGTTGGACGACGGTGTAAGACAAATTTTACATAGGTAGGTTGATGATATACCTCCAATAGTGCGCTAAAAAAAAAAATAATGACTTAAATATTCTCATTGTATAGACTATAGACTATAGACGTATATAGTTATAAGTTAGATAGAAGTATAGAACTAGGGGTGAGAAATTATAGGACTTGCATATTTTTGTCTATGTGTTCTATTTATAGCTAGGTGAGCTATAAATCCGTTTCATAACCTAGCAAGTTCATTTTTTTTTTGTTTTTTTTTGCATATTTGGGTAAATTTTTTAAGAATAGCATTCATTTCATGCATAAAAATGCATATTTAGTTAATTTTTATAATACGTATTGTATAATTCGTTTATTACCAAAAATTAACTTAATTTATTGCAAACATTGTTGGATTTATTATAATTTTACATAAAATATCAAATATTTTAACCGGAGACACCACATCTATGGAGGGATTGACTAAAGATTTGATCGGCGAGGACTTGAATTATTTTAAGTACGCCTGTATAACGCAGTTTTATAGTTGTTATAAAAATATTCTCTCGGACAATTGTCGTCAATTACACGTTGACAATCTTAAAAAGCTCTGGTGGACCAATGCAACAAATTTACAGGTATGAAAAATAAATATTATAATATGTAATTGTCATAATATTATTTATAATATTTTTTAGATATATAGGGTACCTATTGCAGACGTTGGACCAAGAAGTCGTCGATTAGATGTTCAAATGCTGCAATTTTGATGCTGTTTAATATATTATACATATATAGGTATTTATATGATATTTTTTATATTTAATAACATTTTAATTTTATAATTAAAAATATTAAATTATTTAAAAATATGTATTGTGAGTATGAGTCACATTAATAAAAAAATATATGCATATAGGTACTCGATTTTGTTGGCATATTTTTTTTTTTGTGCATATGTTGTCAATTTTTCCTCCCATAACTTCTCATCAGTCATCCTTACTTATAACACTGAATGTGTATGCTACTGCCATGCCAGTCACGTGTGACATAATATAACTGGGTTCAAGTGTTCCTCAGGTAATACCTTAAATATGGGTAGCCGGGTAGGTCGTGGGTGGGTATTGATACAAGGAAAATAGGACATTTTATCGGTAGGTAAGTATAAATTATAGCAACATTATTTGAGGTACCTATAAGTTATAACCGTATAGGCATGTCACTTAAAATTATTTGAGCAACATTTTTTTTTATATTATACGCCTTCGGTCACTGCTGCAGATCTGTTGAACACTATCCTGATAATCTATAAATACTACGCAGTACGCACATTTGTTAAATTATGTATTAAGAAATATCAGTTTATTCGGAGTATTAATATAATAACTAGGTAATAAGTAGTATTTGTTGTGATGTATAAATGTATAATATGCTATTTGGTTTTGTAATATAACTACTAGTTAGGGTAGTTACTAGTTTTGTTTTTTTTTTTTTTATTAATATAAAGTTTCCCTGACATCATCTAAACTTAGGTGTAAGGAATTAATTATTTTTTAACATTTATAAATTAGATCAAAATTAAGGTATAAATAGTTAAAACTATGGTTTAAAATATACTGAATAGGATAAGATTTAAAACATTAACAGA